CTTGCCACAAATCCATTCTAGAATTTTCAGCCAGTGGCCGGCCATGGCGGCAGGGGCAGATTGGGAACAGGGGCATATCAGTGGCTGGGGAACGGTATTGGTGGCCGGAGGGAGTGGGTGGGGCTGCACACTCCAAAATGCTACAGAGCTATATTTGTCCAAACACATATAAGTAGTCCTATTCAGAAATTTAAAACAATGTAGTCCCATTTTTTAATTTAGCCCATGTTTTACTTCTATTTCTGTAAGTCACCACCCTAAGTTAAAAAGGAAAACGAGACAAACTCACAATGAATTACTACGTAAGAAAGAAACCGCAGAGTTGTGACCTTGGAGACAGGGGAAGATTTAGGATGTCAATCCAAGTGGAGCCAAAGTTGTAATATACTCCGTAGATAATCAATAGTATAAAAGAGTAATATACAATAATAAATAAATGGGATAAGGGTCAGATAGGGTCTCGAACTTGAAAAAAATGTCAAATAAGGCCATATTTAGGATGCTCTGTCCGGCCGACGTCATTTGGGGTGGTTCCCGGTGGAATTTTTTGATGAAAATTTTTGAGAATCTTATTCATTAAGTCTAGTTTACTCATATCAAATTTGAACTAACAATTCAATCGAGAAGGCATTCAAATGAATTCATGAAGATAACTGCGCTTTTAACGGTACAGTTATCTTCAAGGATTCATTTGAATGTCTTCCCGATTAAAGTTTTAGTTCAAATTTGATATGAGTAAACTAGACTTAATGAATAAGATTCTCAAAAAATTTCATCAAAAAATTCTACCGGGAACCACCCCAAATGGCGTCGGCCGGACAGAGCATCCTAAATATGGCCTTGTTTGACATTTTTTTTCAAGTTCGAGACCCTATCTGACCCTTATCTCTAAATAAATATATGCAGGGCCAGTCCTCATTTCTTAGTCTATAAGCGAGATATACTATATTAGGTTATATACAAGATAAACTGTAAACTATACATATTTAAAATATGCATTATAACAAAAATATCTGATAAAGGTCATAATTAAAGGAAAAATCACTTTACTATTATTTAAATTACATATTTCGGCAAATTTAACAATCCAAGTATTACATAAAAAGAAAAAAATTACATAAATCGTAGTCTTGCAAAACAATGTGAAGCAAAATCATCTATACTGGCTTAAAAAGGAATAAAAAGCATTAAAACTAAAGAGATGTGAAGACTTGAGAGACATGCATTTTATTGATTCATTGTGTTGCTTTAAGAACTACAACCGGTCCTATTTAAAATAAATGTATATCTCTTTTCTAAACTTGGTTTTTTTGAGACATTTTAGTTATGTTCTATTTTTTAAAATTGTCAACAAAATTAAATCATTAGGCCTAACTAATTGAACATAAAAATAAAAATAAAAAAGTCTACGCGACGAAAAAATTTGGGCCTGTTTTTGTCTCTATATATTTTTGGACCTAGGGCGGTCGCCTTTGTTGTGCTCTGAAGGCATAGTATTACAAATGTTTTACAAGAATAAAAGTTTTCATTGACGTCAAACACAAAAAGTCAGAATTATTTTTAAGGGTTTTTATCTAATGGTATCGCCAATAATGACATCACGGTCAATATTCAAAAAGATACGGAGTATCTTTTTCAAGAAGATTTGTTTTTTTTGTCTATGTTTGAAGTATGTGGCGACTGCAAGTGTTAGTTTAATAAGTGGTGTTTTCCAAAATTGACAGTAATTACTCATATTTTGAGAATTTTCAAATTGTTTTAGTCATATTTCGTGAACTTTCCCATAGATTTATAGTATCTCTTGACCTCCTTAGCATTTTTACCCAACAACAATGCACCACCATCTTCTACTTTAGTTTTCAGTTTAGGTTTACGTACCTGAGAAATCAAAGTTTTTCCGGTGCCGCGGACTGTAAGGCAGCGCAGTATCCGGTGGTCGCAGGGGAGAGGCGGACGCAGACTGGCTTACGAGAGATTTGGGAGTTGCTTTACAAACTTACTTAACCCTAACCTCTAAGACAAATAATTTGTCCTTTTACTAAAAGTACGGTTCTCATCACGCCCATGCTTCCTCGCTCAAACACGTTTTTTAATTGCCTAACGTGCAAAAAAAAAACGTGCATGCCTACTTATTTCCTATTGCCTACTTATAAAAAAATATTGGAAAAATTGAAAATAATAATCTCAACTAATACTGGTTCGTTATTAATAATCTCAACTATCGATTATTTTTGGGTCGTCCCGACTATAGAGACCATTTTTTAAAAATAGTCCTTAACATGTTACAACCTGGTATAGCAGATCATTTTTAAATGTGAACACTGTGTAAGTTTTATATCATCCCAACTATAGTTGACCTTTTTTTTATTAATCCCGACTATTAACCCTCAATTTTTTGAATACGTAAAAGTATTTTTATAAATTTTCAAACTACATATTTTTAAACATGTCTAAACAATTAAAAAAATTATACAAATGTACCGAAGTTAAATAAAAGGGGGAATTTGACTTTGCACCCCATTTTTGAAAAAACTTTGTTTTTGCACCCTATTTCACTTAAACTTCCTTTGACTTTGCGCCCCATTTAGGATTTTTTTCTTCACAAAATGGTATGTGTTGGGGTGCAAAGTCAAAGTTTTTTGAAAATGAGGTGCAAAGTCCAATATCACCCAAAAAAGTGGAGTGCGAAGTCAAATTCCCCCAAAATAAAATATTTTGTCTTTTTTTTTTATTTATTTCCACTCATTCTTTTTCCTTTTTTCCAGTTTGTTTTTCGTTGTGTTACCAACTTATGTTTTTGTATTATTTTTCTTTATTCAAAATTGCATTGTTTTCAAAAAGTAAATAATGATTAAGTAAAAACTAGTTGTTTTTTTTGTCTTTCTGTCGAACTAATACTTGGAACAATAATTTATTAATAATAAACTCGATTTATTTAATCAAAGTAGATAAACTTTTGCAGTGGATATAAAAATAAAATGGAAACCGGGTGTGTCGCTGCCACACCCATCCCTCGACTTGGTTGGATGGTAAGACTATCTACCATGCATGAGTTCAACCAAATTAAAACTTAACATTCAACATTAAATAGCATTATTTAATCTAAGTGGAGCTACACTATAATCATATTAGATCTTCATTATCATCACATGTTCAAAATTAGGGGAAAGGAAGAAAACACAAAGAATAAAAATTAGTTAAATCTAAGTAAGTATTATCCAACCCGTAAAATAATATAATTTGTTAAAAATAATTCTTTGTACTATAATATAGCTTTAAGGTTCCATTTACTTTTTAAAAGTACTATTTCTTATTTATCCTCCAAAACAACTTTATACTTTCAAAGTACCTTTACAGTTAAAAATAAAATTTATAAGCTTTAAAATTCACATCCCTGCTTGTAATAAAATCACATCCTCGTATAAGAATATCACTTTCCAAATCATCACTTTTCAAAAAAAACTTTTATCGCTAAAATATCATCTTTCCAAAATTCAATGTCACTCTTAGATTCTTTTAAGATGGACAAAACTCAAGATTCATTGAGCCCAATAAGACGTTGTTGTGTACGACACATCCCAGAATTCCTGGTTCCACCGACCATCAATTGAAAACTAAACTTCACCCTAAAGTGTGTACACCACTAAAAGGAACTCCAAGCACTCCGAGTAGTAAGAAGTACAAGTAGTTCAGATTAGAGTCCCCCTACTTCACAATGAGTTAGATACCCGGGTAGTTAGAAATTGAACTACTAGTCTACTACTGCGACCACCAAAATCACTTTTAAAGTCCTCAAAGAAATACCGGGATTGCTCCTGCCACCAAAAATTATAGGATTTCTCGCGCCACAAAAAAAATCTGGATATATCGCGCCACAAAAAATCAATTGAAACCTAACTAAACCCGCAGTATATAGCCTTAACTACCACACCTCGTGAGTGGAATCCAAATAAAGAGTAGTTATTGAAAACGATCTTGGAACTGCAGTGATTAGTCATTCAAGTTTCAACTTTAGCCAATATTCCATATTAGCTAACTGATCAAGAGAGTGTATTTAATTGATGAGAAATAGTTGTAATCGTGCTTAATGGAAGGTAGATTTTCAATAGTATCTTACTTTTTACAAGTGAAAATTTGAGGGGTGTGAGTAATTAGTATTTATATCAGAACTCGAGGAACGGCAGAGTCCAAAATAGGCACATTAAACTTTTGTGCTCTTATGATAGTTCCCTACTTCTCTTCTAATATCATTCATTCAAATTCAGGATTGTAACAATAAATGGAAACGGTTTGATTCCATGTTTGTTCTGGTTCCGGACCGGTCTGTCCCGGACTCCCGGGGTGGGAGAGGTTGAACCATGACCTACTCTTGTAATATCGTTCATTTAAATTCAGGATTGCAACAATACATGGAAACAGTTTGATTCCAGGTTTGTTCCGGTTCCGGACCGGTCTGTCCTAGGGGTAGGGGAGGTAAGGAGGTTGAACCATGACCAGCACTAATCACTGCAGTTCCAAGTATTAATTGAAAAAAATGTAATTCAACGCATTAAGATACTTATTACTCCGTATTATTTAGTATAATGTCATTAAGATATTTATGGTTTATGATTATTAAATTTAATTGCAGGATTTGCAGCTGGGAAGTGAATATGTTTGGTCATTGTTTACTTCAAGTCTCAAACGATTTCAAATAACAAAATACGAAATAATAAATAGTACAATACCACAATAATAAACATAAAGCCTTATTGATTATGAAACGGTACATATCATTTGAAAATTTTAAAACTGAACACGACGCTTATTCATCGTTGGCATTGCGGTTTGGGCCCGGCCCGGCCCGGAACCGCCGGCTACCCGGGCCGGTTCCGGTTCCACCTTTCCCAGATAAAAGCCCGGCCGGGCCCAAACCGGAACCGGCCCGGGTCCACCCCTAGTTGGCAAGGATATGTGGTAAATGCTTTGTATGAAAATGTTTGTACAGACTACAGAGTACCATAACTGCTACTTTCTTATTTTTCGAAACACAAAATCTTCCAACAATGAAAACATTGTACATAGAACATGTTTGACTCGTCATTACGAAATATAGTAAATTGACTTTGCAACGGATATAGTGAAAGACGCTTCCATGAGTCCATGACTTATGAAGAATATTAAATAGGGATTTGGGAATGTGTGTATGTGTGTGTGGGGAAAGAAATACTACCTATTATGATAATAAAATAGAGAAAGTATAGATTGATGAAGACTAGAGAGTTGAAGGTAAGAAGACCGAGAGAAATAAATACGATAGTACTCCGTATAACGGATTATTTATAGGAACCAAGACTGGATCGGCCAATCATGGTCCCCATATTACATAACCAGGATCGGTATCCGGCTGCCCACGTGTCCGGCACGGCGGCACCCATGGCCCATCCCTAGCCGAAATTGCTATCCAAGGTCCAGTCTGGTCCCACGAACCAGCCGATCCCGACTCCGAGTCTCCGACCAGGACCTTGTCATCCCCTACGTGTAGCTACTATCTTGAAGAGATGGCATAAGAGAGGTGTATGGTAAAGGACAACCGACAGGTTGAAAGATAAACATTTTGTATTCACTTTCAGAGATTATATACATTTTTGTACAGAACACGTTTTCATAAGTAGTACTACTGTATGAAATTTGAGGGACAGAAGCTGAATCTTAATGACTATCGATCTTCGCGGCGGACAGCATTGGGATCAGTGACCATGTCCATCATCTGCTTCTCAGGCGAGTCTTCCCAACTCCCAAACGTTTTCAAGTCCACCTGCCATGCAATAACATCCAAAATAACATCCAAAAATAATGCAAAAACAATGATAATCTATATACGCATCTTACTTTTTTTCATTTTCTTTGTTATAATCAGGTCCATATATATGTAATTCCAGTGCTTACTGAGTTACTGCTCATCACTAGGCCATAAGCAGGATACACTGCCGTGTACAGCCTAAACAGGGCCATGGCAGGGTCGACTGGAGTATATATTCTGGGAGCCCGGGATAAGGTGACATCAATTTCGTGAAAATTAAAAATAAAAATACAATAATAAATAACAATAAACAGGCCAATTAGGGTGGGGATTTTTTGGCATGGGGCATAATTGCCAATGTATTTTTATTAAAATTTCAACTGTATATGTCAGGAATTCATTAATACAGTGTCATGTGAAATCCATTTAATGGTCAAATAGGGTGAAAGCTGTCCTAAAAGTATGATCTGACCCAATTACACTCTTGGTACTCATCAAGTGAATTAATAAGATCACACCCTTAAACTTGGGAGCTTTGAAACCTGGAGTGAGAAAATAATGATAACAAAGTGGATTGCTACCTTCCTCCTTTGCTGAGTAAAGATTTCCTCCCTCTTCTTATACGCACTTTGCATCTCTTTCGCTTTTTTCCCTCCCAACCCCCATACCTCAACATCAACTATTGAAGCTTCAAGTGGCAAAAACCCCTACAGAACAAATAATGGGTGAGAACGTTGATCATAGTACTCAAAATCTATACATAACTATAGATCAGCGATTTGAAATCCAAATAGCTGATGTTCTAGCAGTTAATGAATCTTGAAATCCACCAATGTCCTAAGCCGCCCTTAATTTTACTATATAGGGCTTTTGGCAACTTTGCTAATATCAGGCTGGGTGGTGGCTAGGTGCCCCGAATTTGCCATGAATGTTTGGTTCCTGATCGAACTTATTTTTTTCGCTCAGTCATAATGACATCAATTGATGATCAATTATTCTATATCTATAACAATTTTATTTTAAAAAAGGATGTATATGAACTATCTCAACCATCAAAAATCAATTTCTCTTTTATATTTATGATCAATATATTTATTTATTTTATACATCCTTTTTATTTTAAAAAAGGATGTATAAAAGATTAATTATTTTTTAACAAAATATAACATTTAAGAATCTTCTGAGCTACTTTTCCTACCAAAAAAATATAAAAAAAAATTCTCAAGTAATACTAGAAATCATTAAAAAAACAGATAAAAACAAATACATAAGCGGGTAGGTAAGTAGGCAAGTAAGCAAGTAAGCAAGTAAGCAAGTAAGTTGTGAGTAAGGATGCTAACCTGACCGGGGAAAAGGGGACCATTCTGGTAGGTTTTGTCAACAGCATGATGACGTAGAGTGACTACAGCAAAATCCTCATCCAGAAATATTCTCTCATTGCCAATAGATCCTCCAAAAGCAATTCCCACAGGCTTTGGATGAGCCTCATACATCCTAGCAGTTGGATGCAAGTGGCTATAGACAACATTTTTCTCCTTCCCTAAGCAATCATCATTATGTATAATTGGCATGCTACTATTGTACTGGTCAGTTTAGTCACATAGATAAGCATATACAAGAAAGATTGCATACCTGAAGACCAGTAAACATGAAAGGCTGGACTAATAGCATATAAACTACCAGAAGTTCCATAAAACGAATCCCTGCTCTCTAAACCCTGATTAGTGAGAATACCTATAATCCATTTTCTTGTGTCATTTTTATTAGGTTCATAAGCGGCCACCAAAATCAACAATGGACCATTATATCCTTCAGTTTTTGACCAAAACCTGTTCAAACCTTTCCCATGGATTGATGACCTGAAATTATAATCCATTATCTTGTGTCATTTTTATTAGGTTCATTACCTCTGGTTGTTATATAAATGAGTAGTTATATAAGATATTGTATGAATATAATATGTATTTCAGCGAGCATTATAAAGTGCTTAAAAAAAGGTAATAAACATATCGTAAAAGAATAGTTACTTGGTTTTCAATATTTCTCCAAATCAAACTTGTAAGAGAATAGTTACATGAAGTTTCAAATTATTTTACAGTGCACAGGGTAAAGATTCTTTATCCTCGTAATTTTGATCTTATGTTTGTGGATATGATGCTCCTTATTTACTCCGGGTTCTTTATGGCGTTACATTCCATCTAGATTGCACTAGCCTAAAGAAAAACACATAAAGACAGTTTGTCCTTTTCTCTTACAATCAGAAAAAGCTTAAAATCTGAAAAAAGAAAATTCCAAACATATAGAAGTATTATAGTTTTGAGAGAGAGTTATAACATGGATCTTGGAAGCATGAGTTAGAGACTCCCTTATATATAAATAAAAAATAAAATAGGCACTGGTAAGCCTGAACTGTAGAAAGAAAGCGGTACACTAAGTCACTGACCGATAAAGAATCAATTCATTCATCTCATCTGCACTACTTGAAAAGCAAGCTTTTGAAATTTCTTCACTCATAGTGCTCTGCAAAGTAAGCGAGATAGCCCATGCCCTTCCACGAGTAAGGAGGTTGCTAATGGAATCATCCCTTTGGGAAATATCAATCACAAAATGCAACCCCTGTTCTAGTTTGTCCTAGCATTAGTTATAGATATTAGATACCATCAGCACTTCGATCCAATTTTGGAAAGTCCGATTCTAAATAAGAAGAAATCAGAAATGGAACAACCTCATGGGTTGCAAAGTAGAAAAGTCTTGCTTGGACAAATTGTGAAAGACAATCTGCAAGGTTTGGCAATGTCTTCAAGGCCCACATGGTGATCTTAGCAGCAGGAAGTTGAACATTGGTTTGTAAAGTTGAAGATTCCCAAATGTCCAATTTAGTGGTACAATTTTCAATACATGATTCAGTGGCTGACAATACCAAGTGACTTACATCTGGAAGAAGCCCAGAATGTCCTGAAGATTCCGTAGAGCTCAGCTTCTTACAATCCGACCACATAACCCAGCACATCCAAAGAAGCATCGATATATCAAGGGGCAATAGATATCCATTGGCTTTACATTCATCATCATCAGGATCGAATTGCAGTTTTTCAGGAAGACCTGCTTTCGAATTCATCATAGAAAAAACCCTAAATAGATTGTTGAATGAACTGGAAGCAATTTTCCTTCCACAACACCTAGAATAGCCTTTCAAGAACTCCACCCAGCTCACTCCTCCCTTTTGAGATAAGAAGAAAAGATCAACTATACATGAACTCAGATGACTCAAGAGAACGGGAAATTCTTCAGGTACACTGGTTACTTCGCTCGCAGAGTTCTCGATGGTAAATCGGAAACATTTCTGTCACCAATGGAAACTACAATCAAATACCGAAAAGTATATACTAAAACCAAGAGATTATAAGTATTCCACGGAATTCACAAAAGGGTTGGAAGTATGATTATATATGTATACTCAAGTACCTTAAGAGATTCAACTGGGATGGTGTTTGTTTGGGGATCGGAGAGGATAGAAAATGTCTTTTGGAGCGTCGGAAGTGCTCCTGTGGACGCAGCTAAGGATTCTGCTTCCCGTTGCTCAGGGGATGGCTGGTCGGTGGAGGACGATTGCCCCATGGCTGTGTCTCTTCTCTCCTATTCCGCTTCGTGATTCTCAACAGCTCAATAGCAGATGTCAAATATGTCTATACCGTTTCTGGATCAATCTCGCGAAATAAATTATTTTATTAGAAAAATTGGCAGAGTCCTACATTAAAAATGCATCAACTGCCGCCAATGCATCTTCTACAAGTATCTCGAACGAGTCTCACTTGATACATGTCAACTTGTAATTTAGGTTCAATTTGCATTTTCCCAGTAAACTATTCGATCGGTGCTAGGGATCCTTAGGTTAACTATTTGGGAGAATGGAAACCTAGAGTTCCAAATCTGGACTAAATTGAGATGCTCTTGAAGAAATGTAAAGAACCTCACCGCAACATGGAAATGGTTTACGCAAATTAATGAGAGGGATGTAAGTTGGGACGAGTTTGAGGTACATACTTGTAGGTCTGTGCAATTTAAAACTACATAAAGTTTTGGATGAATGGAAAAAGAAGGTTTTGAGAGTAAGATAACCACAAAAGTTTACAAGGAAATGTAATAGCAAGTCATCATCACAAGGACAAAGAAAAATTGTTACTAGAGATTAAATGAAAAACTACCCAAATTGTGATTTTACACAAATCTGGCGTTTTTTTCCTCCCCTAGCATGTGCACCAAATGGAAAACGCGACCTTGTGCTCACTCAAAGTTCTTTGTTGTTGTTGTAAACTCGTTGTCTTTAATCAGTTAACAAATTTTAAAGTGAAGACTACCCAAATTAACATTTTATTTTGATTACATAACATGCAAAACAAGTTGATTGTATACTGTTTGAAGTTCAACTTTGTGTTTAACAATTACCCCAGGAGGAAGTTGATTAAGAGATGAGCTTGTTACAATTTAAAATTTGGGATAGTAGTGTTAAGTCATCACACAAGGTCTTGTGTTGTCAAAGCATGACTAATGTAAAAATGGCACTGAAGTTCTTTGGGATAGTAGTGTTAAGTCATCACACAAGGTCTTGTGTTGTCACTTTTTTCAAATTAGCCGATTGTCTTATTCCCACCCCCACGGATACATCAAGTCAAATTAAACACATGTGAATAAATTGTACAATGTTCTTGTTTCCTAGTTGAGCTTTGTTTAGTTGCACGACAACTTACACACCCAAGTTAAATGCATGTGCATAGACAATTACACTTGGGTTTAGTAAATGGAAGTGTCTGTGATCTCGAAATGTCTATCTATACACATACTATTCATTTTTGGAGTCATAGACACTTCCCTTTACTAAAACCCAAATTAATTGTCTGTGCACAGGCATTACACTTGGGCGTAATCGGACGTGTACATGAAACAAAACTTTTCATAGTTTATTGCTTTTGTATGGGAATTTTTACTCATTTTCTATGAAGTGTATTCAGGATTTCACAGATATTACAAAAAAGAATAAAAACTAGTATTCTATGCCTCGGGGCCTCGGTGGATTCATTTTACCACTACCTTTCTATAAATAACTTTAAGGAAAAATCGCATATATGGTCCCTCAGTTATTCACGGAATTAAAATTTCAGACCTATATTTCTGAGATTTCTAATTACACCCCCGAGTTGGCCCACTTACATTAAATGTCGTCCCCGTAGTTAGAAGTCCAACTAACGGCATCTGGTCTTCCATTTCATGAGGGGTAAACGCGTAAATTTCCCTCCTTAAAGGTTTAAATCACTAATTTCGTATCTATCGCTTCAACCTTCGTTACCTAAAGTCTTTATCACGCTTATCACTCCCAAATCCATTACCTCCATGTACAGCGGTAGGGTGGTTGCAGAAGCTGACAATTATCGCTCATTCGCCATCAAAGTCGACTCCCCGATTTTCCAAAAGGACGCTCGCGGCTATGTTTTTCCCCGCCGAAACATCATTTGTAACGTCTCTCAGATTCTCCAGGCGCCTTCTTCTCCCTCGTCAGACCGGTTCCTTGACCTTTCAGAATATCTCAATACCTTGTATCTAGCTTTAACTCCCTCGGAAGCCTCCGAAGTTTTCAAGTCTCTCAAATCTCTAGCCCTAGCTCTCAAGTTCTTCCAATTTTGCCCCGCAAGAATCCCTAGTTTCCGGCACGACATACAACCACATCATTCTCATCATGTCCCAATCATCCCTCCCAACCAGCCTCCCAAAAATTGGACTAATAAAGACGTGTAACCCTATAATACTTGTGGTTTCTATTCGGACGATTGGTCGGAAACTCGGAATCCTGAATTATCCCTGCACTTGTTGCTCCCCCGACTCTCTCTCTTTGTTGCCGGTTTCTTCCTCACTTCGTCCCTGCTTTTGGCTTTTCATTCTTTGTTTTACCACTACTTTTTAAGGACCAAAGTATGAATTTTAAGTTATCTATTTTGCACATTGCTTATAATATGGCAGATATAATTTTACACATTGCTTATAACTTATACGGAGTATAAGTTATCAAAGAGGAAGATGCTTTTACTGGTCTAGTGGTCTCACTTGCAATCTGGAACCAGAGCCACTTTCCACCATAGCGTTTCCAAGACAACCAGTTCATTGTTGCATAACCCATATTAGTATATTACTAATATAATAATGTTGATGGTTCCCCCCTTTAAGTTTATTCAACACCTTACAAAATAGAAGAAACACTACATTTTAAGAATTGTTCTTAAAATCATTAAAATCATTGTTGCTACTGGTTAACCATTAAAATCACCGTGCATATGTACTTAAGGGCCGTGGTTTTTCTGTTTCTTTGAATCTGATCGAGTCATTAGCAGTGCTACAGTGCAAATTCACTACTTCAGTATATCTTGGTTGCCTATATGATAAATGGTGATGTTAAGTATAAAGGGGAAATGTCATATATCATGCTAATTTCAAGGGGAGTAATGTTAGTGATGATGTAGGTATAAATCATCGTGATTATACTACATATGTAATATGGTAGCGTGTGCACACGAAAAATGTGATGAGCATGAGCATGAGCATGATCTATAATTCTATAGGAATTCTTATAAACTAGCACAGACAACTTTAGAAGTTTTTGAAATTGTGCATATTAAAAATGAAATCCCCTTCATTGTTACCTCATCCATAAAAGCTTCTTAACACTAGCTTGGTTGTGTGTTACATTCCTCTTGAATACAACTCCATGGTGCCGAGTCTCTTTTTAAACCTCCAACTCTAGGATCTGATCTTGCTTAAAGTGGCTCTCATAGTGGTTTTGAGCTGGTTATTTCTATCCTCAAACCCCTTTATTTCAAAGAGGTTGCGTTATGAAGCCCAAAAATGACCTTGGACAGCAGTGTGTGATCTGAGATCTGAGTCACGCTGAACAGACGACACCTCTATCTCTACCGGTGTTGCTTCTTGTCAAGTCACAACTATTTATTCTCGCGGCAACATCCTCTCGATTCCTAGGCCAATGCTCCAAACAATTGAGTTGCTTCTTGAAGGGAGAGTTACCAAACGAACCCTAAATCAACCAATGGTCAAGCATTCATTTGTTTGTGCAGTAACCACAATGAAAATTAATCTCCCACTGCACCGCATCATCATAAAGTGATCACTTGTCTTCCTCAAAAGGATACTCCCTTTTCACATATGAACTTTGCATTTATTTTCCTCTTTTCCTCCCAAACCCCCACCACTCAACATCTAATACTCAAGACCCCCTGCGGATCAAAGAAATGAGGAATAAGTAGTATTGTAGTAGTGGTGGTGGTAATAAAGATGATGATAGTAATAATAATACTAATAATAATATAATAATACGGAGTAATAATTATTATATAATGAAAATAATAATAATCATAATAGTCATAATAATAATAATAATACTCCCTCCTTTAATGATTGCTACAATAGGTTTTGGCACATTATTTAAGAAAAAAAGTAGAAGGGGTAATGAATAGTGTAGAAAAAGAGTGTAAAAGTTTAAAAGAGAAGATAAAAAGGTAGAAAAAATAAAAGTAATTGAGTATTTTTAAAGGAAAACTTACCAAAAGGGGAAAGTGTAGCAAACTTTCAAGTACATCCCAAAAAGGAAAGTCTGGCAAACTTTAAAATGCGGAGTAATAGTATATTAATAACAATAACAACAACAACAACAATAATAATAACAGCAAAAATAATAACAATATTAACAGGAATGCAAGATAACTATGGTCAGCAATTTGATTTCCATATAAATGACATTGAGCAAAATGATCCAGAAAACTTACTGGCAAAAGCATTTCATGCATTACTAGAACATAATCCAGGCCACTCAGAAAGGGGTGGCAGGGTGGGGGTTCTGGAGAAGATAATACGTGAACTACAACTTTCTTTCTCCTTAGCTTCTGAGTTCTGGGACATCTCCTGTGTCCTTCAAAATGTAAGTCAAGTCCCTAATCACTTCAAATATCAAATCTGTTTGTGCATGAGTATTATGTCCCATAGAGAAGAAGTGTGCTTGTCTTTGAACCTCAATCATGCTATGACCAGTCTCCTTTTTAACACCCGACTCTTTCATCACTCTCCTGACTTCTGCAACATTGTTCCACAAACCAAATGAGGCATAGGCATTAGAAAGGACAACGTACTTCCCGGCGTTCTCCGGTTCCAGCTCAAAGAAATTCATAGCAGCGAGTTTAAGCATGTCCATATTTCCATGAATCTTACAAGCCCCAAGCAAAGCACCCCATAACACAGGGTGGTCCTGATAGGGTGAGTTTTTAATAAACTCATAAGCCTCTTCTAACCTCCCTGCACGTCCGAAAAGGTCAACCATAGCCGAATAGTGTTTCCCACTTGGTTGAAGCCCATAATCTCTTGTCATTGAAGAAAAATATTCTCTACCTTCATCTACTAACCCTCCATGGCTACAAGAAGAAAGAACTGCAAGAAATGTTACAGTGTTGGGTCTAAAACCTTCACTGACCATTCTATGGTAAGACTCTAGCACCTCCACTACCCTACCATGCTGCCCAAATCCAGAAATCAGGGCAGTCCATGTTATGACATTCTTCTCCAATGACTTCTCAAACACGAGATAGCCATCATATGGACTACTGCATTTGAAGTACATGTCCATAAGGGCACTATTAACAACTAGGTTTCGACATATTTTCCTTTTGATCACCATAGCATGTGCTTGCTTGCCCTGTTCCAAAATAGACAAAGAGGCACATGCCCTAAAGACCGATGAGAAAGTGTATTGGTCGGGATTCAAGCCATGTTGTTTCATTTTGTAATAAAGGCATAAGCCGACTTCTTCCATTCTATACTCCACATACCCTGCAATCATTGCATTCCAGGAGATGAGGCATTTAAAGTTTAACCTATCAAATATATTGTGGGCAGTATCCATATCTCCTGACTTTGCATACAGGATTAACAGTTTGATTGTCAGGTATTGGTTTGGGAGAAACCCGACAACAACCATTTGTGAGTGAATTCTTCTCCCTTGCTTGTATGCTTTCGTAAAAATGCATTCCTGCAAAAGAAGGGAATACGTTTCAGACTCCACTCGCAGTCCATTGCGGCACAATATCCCAACTGCTTCCCTCACTCTTCCTGAGAAACATAATTCTTTCAGTGTTTTATCCCAACCGTACAGATTCTTTAGAATGTCACCCTGAAAACTGTGGATATAATCAATAACTACTCAATGTTCTTTCATGAACAAAAAAAACTCCTCCAGTATACATTGAATTATTTCTATAATAGCTTCCACAGGTATCACTAATACAGAGCAAACAATGAAGATAGAAATGAATTTGTAATTAACAAGAACTCAATTTTAATTTGATCTTTCCAGCCACATAATGTATCAGTCATCATTTTATCTCTATAACTATAATACTATTACCGGATAATTTCCATCATTTCCGATGGAGCCAAAGACTCACTATTTTTTGGCTTGGGAGTATGATGGAATAAAGCAAAATGGCTCACTAAATTGTCTGCGCTTCTTTGTTATGAAGCAACAGTCAGTCCATGCAACTTTCAACGTGATTTTCATTATGAGTCACCCGGAAACAGTCTCTTTGTGCTTTAGTACAGGGGTAAGGCTGCATACATCCGACCCCCCCTTACCCCACCGTAGGTGGGAGCCTTTGCGGCACTGGGGTAATGATGATGCTGATGATGAATACTATTACCAGATAACTTTTCCTATTATATCATGGGTAGTGGATTGTTTCTTAATGAATTAGGCACTAGACCGACTTCCAATCAAATATAAAGCCCCAACAAATAAACGTATATGGATAATATAAAATTTTGTAATAATAGAAACTGAAAACTATATTCTGTATTTCTTATTAGAATGCAAGCAAGTTACAAGACGTTCTTTTCTCTAAAAACTCAATTTAGATATCAAACTCAATACAAAGAACATGAATGGAGATGCATATGTCTATGAATACAACATTCAACAATACCGAGTGTTTTTTAATCACCATAATTCCTCTAAAATGAACATTCCAATCAAACATAAAGCTCCAATCCAAGATTTACTACACCCAATACGAATATGTGACAAAAAATAGACAGAATTTGAAATGTAGCAACAAGTTGAAAGTTTTCCAAACCTGCCTGTGCTGGTATCAGGCCTTATTGTGTTCAGAAGGGTGGTCTTTTTTCCAGCTAACATAGGCCCCAAAATCATACGAAACTCTCCACAAGCTGGCTGCAATGAGTAGGTTCTCAAGCTCCGAACTTGATTGCAATTTGATATTTCTAAATACCAATATGAAGAAATAGATATATGTGGCTTAACAGTTTGAACATGGTACAAGCTCCGAAAAGGCCTGAAAGTGGGTTCTTGAAAGATGAACTTGAGTATTGCTGCATCCACTGTCACTTTCATTCTTGAACTTGTTGGCAAGTATATGAAGCTGTGTTGGGATATATAAGAAATTAAGAAATTACTCAGTGTGTATTTTGGTGCGACACTAATTGAAAAAGAGAAATTGATTTACTGGGTGGGCAGTCTACTGGTGTTGCCTTGTCATTTGTATTTTTTAAAATGAAGTTACCCATTCTTTCTCCACATTATATGTTAGGTTTCATTTTCCATTGTATATGTCAAGTTTCATTTTCAAGAAAATTGGAACATTCACTTCGATTTGAATTTTGAAAAATAATGTCGCATAAATAGAGGAAGAAGCGTCATGGATTTGAGTACAGAAGGTAAAATGTTTATGTGGCTTTTACCAGTCAGAAACCACAAGAATGCGTACATCAAGGGAAGCCTTAGGAACTTATGTTGAACTTGGCAGAAAATGTTAATTTAATAAAACTATGAATGACCAAAACGTCAATAGAACTACTTTCTACTACAGTGATGCATGCTACATTTTAACAATTTGTAAGATTATAAAGAGGTAAACATCAAGTAGTAGATTGATAAGAGCGGTGGTGGTTGATTTTATTCTAGTTAGATTTTAATTCCATACTTAGCCAAGTTAGCTTATCTATTTTAGGAAGTAGTTATCAAGGATTTCCCTTTTCCTTGTTTTATGCATTCAAATGCATGTAATACTTATTATAAAAGGGAAATTTGCTATGTGAAGAAAATATTCAAGACAGAAAGGAATCAAGGAGAAAGAAAACTCCTCAAATTCCAAAGGAGAAAAAAATCCCTAAATTTCCACTGAGCCCTTCCTGTTTATCATTTTAATAACACACCCCCATGACTCAAAGAATCCCGATCAGAGGCGGACCCACTAAGGGTCCCACGGGGTCCCGGGACCCCGTGAATCTCGAAAAAAAATCCTATATATATTATATATATTACATAAAATTAGTTTTGAATGTATATTTATACAAACAACACGACCTAGGTTTCAAAGCAACGGAGTAGGTTAATGGGTGGATGGGCAGAATTTAAGCTTTCTAAGTTGCAAGGTACAACGTTCGAATCCCTTTGGGTTCTCTTTTGCAAAACAACTATTAATTTAATAGACCAAACCTACGTCTTTGTTTTAAATTAATAAATTCGTATTTAGTTTTTTTTTGCTGCTTTGCTACGTTCTAATCCCACTAGGTTTTTTATTATTTCCTTTGCTGCTTTGCTTTTTTTTAAATGTTTGATTAAATTAATAAATTCATGTATTTATAAATTTTATTTTCGATTTTATATGATTTAGGATGAAAAGATATTTTAATGTTGTACCCAAATTTAAAGAAACTCAGAGTACCGGGAGTAGTTCAGGTGTTAATTCAAACGATTCGTCATTAGTAAATGAAGAATTGGATCAAGTAAATGCTGAAAGTGAAGCTAATTTGACTTATAATCTACCTGAACAACATGAGGATTTTGAATCTTTGGAAGCTGATCCTAGATTGAGAAAAAGAATTGCTGATTTTCACCCTAATGTTCAAGATGAGGTACGTCGTAGTTACATTCAATGGTTGAATGATTGCTTAGTTACATATGTTGAGAGAGGTGTTTTTGGTACTATTAGTGATGATTGCATTATACTCCGTAGAATATTTCCAACAAATGAAGTCTAGGAGGGTACATCTGTAGAATTGTTGAATAATTTTTATATGTAATTTTTTGCTTTATATATAATATATTAATGTTTTGATGGTGTATGTTAACTTTGAAGTGTTATGCTTCTTTGATATTTTTTTTATTAATTTTATAATAATTAGAGATTAGCGATATAAAAGGATAAGGACCCCGTGGTTCCGATTTTCTGGGTCCGCCACTGATCCCGATGCATAACATAGAACTGCACTAGACGGGTCAAGGCCTCTCAGGGCTTTGAAATAAAAAAATCATCTACAACAGAATCAACATCTATAATAAGACCAAGTTCTCTTTCAATATAGTGTCATAAAGTCAGATAGTCTTTGTATTTGTGCCCGAGTATCATCTCTAAAGGTGTTCCTTTATGTTACATCTGTACTAAGAGCAAGGACTCTTTCAATATAAAATGAAATGTTTTTACCTCTTTCATATGTTTTCACTAGTTTGGAATGTTTTTCCTTCTTGATGGATAAAATAATAATATACCTTTTCAGTTTTTTGCCAAATGTTTTAAGCAACCAGAGAGTTATTTGTGTGTTCAGACTTTCTCCCTCTAGTCTTTCTGTAGAACAACCCATCACAAATCATTGGACCAGAATAATTCAAAAGGTATAACATTAAATATTAATGTACCTTTAGACCACACCTTATATTCCAAATACTCCGTATAGGAAGTCATGCTTTTACGAATCCCCAGTAGGAACTTTAAAAAAAACACAAATTAATTGCTAATAATTCATAACATAGATTGGTATAAATAACAAACATAAAGAGAGGTTTTGATTTTCTGTACATGTCAGAAATGGAGAAACTTGATTGTACTTGATTATTTAATTGCAGAAATATAGCCTTTTAGTCCACTTAAAATGATAAGGTGTATGGGGGTGTTTGGAACTGATTCTGCTTCTTCTTTTGCTTCTTTTTTAAAGCAGAAGCAGAATCAGAATCAGTTTTCAGAAGTTGGTCACCCCCAGCTTCTAAAAAAACTGATTCTAGGAGTAAATTTGAGTACTAGAATCACTTCTGAACTTTCACACAAACATTCCAACTTCTGCTTCTGCTCCCTGAAGGAGCAGAAGCACTTCTGCTTCTGCTCCCTGAAGGAGCAGAAGCAGTTTTAAGAATCAGATCCAAACACCCCCTATGTGGCTTATGGATAGATCTATTGTTGCTCTTTTTGGAATGTCTTCCTCAAGTTTTAGAGAGCATGATTCCGAACAAGCTTCTAATTATTCATTGACAAATCTTTTATCTTGTTTCTTAAATTTACATTTGATTGTGTTTTCCTTATTCCATTGCAGTTATTCTTCATCTACTTTCACTTGAGTAATTCATTCTGCACTAAGAGAGTGTTGAATGCACTCATATTTCTATCATAAATCCTTTACCACCAATAGAATTAACGGTATATATAGAATGAAGTAGATACTCATAATGAACCTAAACTAGATAACAAAAAATAAACCTTATGTTTAGACAGAGATCTGGAGCTGCGGGCCAAGGAACAAAAAGACAGGAAGGGGGTCGGCAACTGGAAATTAAACACTAATATATACGGAGTAAAATATTTTGATTTCATTTATTATAAATTTAATTTAATGGTAATTTTTATGAAATGTTTCTCCAGAAAATTTTATTAATTTAGATAGTACTAAATTTGTTTAAATATTAAAAATTTGGTCCCAGTTTTCAATCACTATGGCCCTACACCATTTTCATATTTCGGTTCAGGTAACCCCTATCTTCTGGTTCCGGGTATTGGATTAACAATGCATATAACTTTTACCTGAGATATAAAGAAGGAAAAGAAAAACATATATATAAAGAAGAAGAAATGGAAGATGAACTCATACCTACGATTGATGGCCTTCAGAAAAGAGGATTGCACCAATGACCGATGCTAAGCTAACTTTAGAGTCTCTTCTACTTGAAACATGGGTCCCCACTCTCTACGCGCCTAAGAAATTTTTTGAACCAACTTCACCTTGTTCTTACACTTCTACCCTGTTTTTAAGAGAGAAAATATGACCAAGGCTGATGCATCTCCACATCAGTCTCTTGGAGGTCCGGGCGGAGCTGTATCTGTTGTTGTCCAGGTTTGTTTTGGAGTTAGAATGCTGATCGTTCATGCCTTCTTGGTGGCGACACAATGGGAATTTTGAATCAAAATGGCTGAAAGAAGGATAGCTATTATCAAAGTAGTACCTTTTTTCTTTTTCAGATAATAGCAATATTGAAATTATTCAAAACTTCAAACAAACTAGTGACGTTTAAATTTAAAAAATAAAAAGTGATCAGGTTGAGTCTGACAAAGTTTGAAGCTTGATCAAGTTTGAAATTCTGCCAGGTCTAACTTGGTCTACCAAGTTTGAGGTCAATCAAATTTAATGTTCAACCAAGTTTGAAGTTCTACCAGGTTTGACATGTTCACACTTCACATGAGAATGAAAACAATAATGTCGCCTGATAATTGTTCGATCAAGACTTTTCATTGAAGATTTGAAGTCAAATATGAAAAACACCTAACAAACTCATATCTTCTTTACGGGTTCATAGAATGATATCGCCTCATAATGACATCACTGGCAATTTTCAAAAAGATATCTTTTTCAAGGATGTTTTTCTTCTGTTTTTAAATAATCTATCTGAAGCTTGTGGCCGTTACAATTGTTACTGAAAAATCTTCAAAAGCTTCTACTTCAATATACTTATAGTATCTCTTGACCAACCTTCGTTAGCTTTTTTTTACTCTACGAGTCTACAACAATCCGCCACGTCATACAAAGTTAGAAAATAGCAAAAAGGTCCTCACAAGTATATTAGAACAATAGGATTAATACTAACAACAGTAAATTGCATTAATACTCCACAATGAGATTGTAACATTGAACTCACAAATCACAATCACATTAATACTATTAACTTAACACTTAACATCTAAATAATGAGATTGATTTTCACAATGACATTAATGCTAATTGGGTTGATTGATTAATACTAAACAATGGGATTAATATCTTTAGACACAAGTCACAACCACATTACCAATTGCCCAACCGTTCAACACAAATTACATATCACACAATTGATTTATGCTAGCAAACTTTCTAAATTATGCACGAAAATGCCTTGCACAAAGTGAGGTCGAAAAACTAGGCATATGCATTCTATGAATATAAGGTATCAAAACACAAAAAAAAGGAAAATAAACTTTGCATATTTAGCCGGAAAAACAAATTTCAAATTCTTAAATCTCACTAATTGAAATTTCAGAAAACTACAATTTACTAATTGAACAAACACTCGTAGATTAGTAATGGAAACTGAAATTTATTCTGAAACACATATCACAAGAATTCACCAATTGAATCTGGAAATTTTTCTATTTTGAACATAATATGGAATTAAATTTTTAATTTAGGCTTACCTGTCTGAGTAGCGAGTCGGAAAGACAGAAACCAGAGTATTTCCGGCGTGCAGGTGCGGAGGACGGCGGGCCAGTGTGCTGCGCGCGGTAGATTAGTTTTGGCTCGCAGGGAGGGGGGATTACGGTAGCTGGCGCAGTCTGCAGACACGCAAGATGGTTGTCGCCACGTCAATCGTGCTGAAATGTGGAAGTATACGATTTTAGGGTCTCTTTGCAACACCTCAAAATTGCTTTTTTAATGAAATGGAGAAATGTGATTAAATAAAAGTTGTTGAGAAAAAAGTGATTTTGAAAGGTAAACGTTGGTAATGTTTGGTAAAATAAGTGTTTTTTGTATAATAGAAAAAGTAAAAACACTTTTGACACGAAAGCCGAGAAAAACAAAAATAGTAGTATTTGATAAAATAAGTGATTTTTAAAGCAAAAAGTTTGAGAAGTGACGTTTGCAAACCAACCCTTAGTTTGATACTGATGAGGAGCTATGACGACAGACGATTTGGTCGTCTAGTTTTACCATTTGGGCCTTTAGGATTTTTTGACTGTGGGCTTGACTTATCTAGCGATTCTAGCCTAATGCTCAATCCGTCCCTCAAAATATGATGGCGCAATTCTAAATACACCCACAAAATTGCTATTTAGAGTAAGATAATTAAATTTTAATTAATAAAGTTATACAAGTATTAAATGTCTAATTTATCATAATTAAACATATCCCAAATTTCGATCAATGCACAATATGCAATCGCTTCTTCAATTAATAGCGGGCCTTCATTATTCTGCGATCAAGCATCTGTATCAGTATCACCATTCTGACACCAACTTTTCATTCAATTTCTTTTATTTAGTTTCGGGATAAGGGTCAGATAGGGCCTCGAACTTGAAAAAAAATGTCAAATAAGGTCATATTTAGGATGCTCTGTCTGGCCGACACCATTTGGGGCGGTTCCCGATGAAATTTTTTGATGAAATTTTTTGAGCATCTTCCTCATTAAGTCTAGTTTACCCATACCAAATTTCAGCTAAAAATTCAAACGGGAAGGTAGTCAAATGATTTTCCGAAACGTACTGCGTTGTTTAACTTTACAGTTATCTTCAAAAAATCATTTGACTGCCTTCCCAGTTGAATTTTTAGCTGAAATTTGGTATGTGTAAACTAGACTTAATGAGGAAGATGCTCAAAAAAATTCATCAAAAAATTCCATCGGGAAGCACCCCAAATGGTGTCGGCCAGACAGAGCATCCTAAATATGACCTTATTTGACATTTTTTTACAAGTTCGAGGCTCTATCTGACCCTTATCCCTTTAGTTTCCTTTCTAACTCCACCGTTGTAACAATAAGATTGAAACCACACCATAGATCTATTAAGAAAGATAGCTATTAGCTATGAGCACTTGAGCATATAAGTAAGATTTAATTTATCTATGCAGCCATTAATCTAATGCGCAATATTTTTTTAGAAAAATTAATATAAAAGTCAACCATTATGTTTGAGAATATCAACTTATAGGGTATATATCAATTGTCACAAAACAACGCGATGAGCAAAAATTTGACCGTTTTTACTTTTCTCAGGAGGAATGACGTGCACTTGTCGTGAGGTGCACTCAAAATAAATACAATACAACACTAATACGTAGTATAGTGAAGTAAGGTTCGTATCCACAGGGAAAGGAATACTTTTCTTTTTAAAGAAATAAATAAGTAACAAAAAAGGGGGTTTATGTTTGGTTGATGAACTTTAAATTATATTTAAACACGAAGATGAACGAGTTATGTGGTTTAATTAATGAGAAGAAGACTTGGCTTTGCTTTTATCCACTTAATGAAATGTTCGTCGATCTCGGTTATATCTTTAACTATCTTCCTCTCGAATACTCAATCGAGGAGTATATCCAATTCATCGAGGGTAGTTATTAATAACGAGACGCGTTCATTAATAAAACTTACTACCGAGTTAATATAGAACACGCGCCGTATATTCACTCAATAGTAGCAATAAAATCAAGATGAAAACGATTGAGATTGATAACCTCAACACAAGCGGTTTATTGGTTTAATCAATATGATTAATTCCCCTTGGCTTATTAACCATGAGACGCATGCATTAACAGCCCAAGTTTACTACCGTGAAAGGACCGAGTTAATAACAAGCGTATTAATCGACCGATTCTAGTATTAATTAATATATGAAACAAAACTAGTTGATCCTTTAAGTATTGCTCAAAATATTAATATGTAATAGGAATAGGAATTAATTAATATTCAAGGAAGAAGATTAAAGAAAATAACTCACAACTTACAATTCATTAAGCTTCAAAGTAGCAAAACCAAGATGGAAGAGTTTAGCTCCTCATTTGGAGACTAAACGTGAAGAAAATATACAGAAATAACTTGTCTAAACTGATCTTAGAAGTATATAGGAATTGGTGATTTTTTGTGGGAAGGAAAGGGGTCTATTTATAGGGAATTGGAGCATGCAGGGGTGTGTACCCGATCGGGTCTTGGAGGCTCCCGATCGGGTATATTAAGAAGCTTCCCGGAAGTGAAAAAATAAGGCCATACCCGATCGTGTTAAAATCTTCCCGCATGATGCCTTGTTCCCGGATTTGATTTGATTCGATTTTTCAGAAGGGTACCCGACCGGGTATAGGTCATACCCGACCGGGTACAGACCAAAAACGAGATCTTCACTTTTTTTCTTGTATTTTTGCACCTTCCTTGCACTTGTGATGTTCACCAATGGTCTTCAAAGTGTTCTTGGACCTGTTTGAGCTCAGAATAAACCTAATCTAAACATATTACAAATATTTTACAAACTAAACTATTACACCAAAAGTGTGTAATTTCCAAAGTAACAATTACTCTAAACTAATTAAAAACACAAATTTAAATATGGAAATTACATGAATGTCAACTCCCCCACACTTAGTTCCTTTACTCGACCTCGAGTAAAACCAAATGTTTACACAATGTCCATCAAAAGATCATGAGTTCATAGGTAAGAAGAAATAAGGAACTAAAACCACCAAGTATTGTAAATGAGGTTACAAAACAAATTGTTCCTTGGGTTTAATGGTCTTCTATGCTCCTTACTTCTTTTTCTCTTCTTCTTTTCTTCTCCTTCCTCCCCAAGAGATAGTGTCCTGCAAAAACAAATTTTTCTCTCATATCTCTCATTTTGCCTTGGAGCCTTTTCAGGTTTTCGTCCTAGCATCTCTTTTCTTTTCCTTTCCTTACCACTCACTCATTATTTTTTTGTAAGCCCTTGTTGCTTAGATTGCCCTTTTGGGTTTTCAACCTAACTAGCATTTCATTTTTTTTTTGTGTACAACTAATACAAGAAAAATAATGTTTAGTACAAGGTAAAAACAAAGGAGTGTACATACCAAGAGATGATCTTCCTCCCCCACACTTGAATCATGGCACTATCCCTAGTGCCCGCCTTCTCCACCATAGTAGCCTCCTCCAAAGCCGCTTCCGTGCGTGTCATCACCGCCTCCCTCGCCCATGGTAGTATCCCCGCCATCATAGCCACCACCGCCGGAAGTAGAGCCGCCGAAATTACCCCAATCGGAGGGGTTATACCAAGAAGGTGCCGGTGGTGGTGAGGACATAGATGCAAATCCGCCGATGTGGGACATGTATGAGTATGTGGGCCCATACATCCTCCGGTAGTCGTCTTCATACCTTTGCATATCGGCCGCCCTTTGCTCCTCTATCCTTTGGAGTGCCGATTGTTGTTCGGTCCGGAAAGCATCAAATTGGCGGTCCCTTGCTTGTTGCTCCGCCCGGTATTGGCCTAGCTCTTCTTGAAGTTGGGCAAATTGCCCTCCCATCTTTGTGTAATCGAGGCTCATGGTTTGGAAACCGGCAAGGAGGGATTGTTGACCCGCCAAGAGTTGTTGGAAAAAGTCTTGTGGTGGCGGGTTTTGAGGGGGGTCGGGGAGAGCATTGTGGACATCTTCATGTCCTTGATTGTCGGCTTGATCGGGATGAAGCTCGGGTTGGTGTTCGGGTGGGTTGGCTTGGTCTTGGAGGTGGGGTGGAATGTTGTTTGGAAGGAGGTAATGGGGGATCTCAAAGGTGGCCATTTTATACCTAAGTTTAGGTAATTCATCACAAGGGAGGAGGAAATATTTGGTGGACTGGTGATACTTCATGTGCCACCTATAGGGTTGGTTTCCATTGTGGTCTTTGTTGCCTAAAGATATCAAACCCGCATTGGATAACCAACCAATGTGCATCAAAGAATCGGGATGAATTGGAGCATTGTCCGTATAGCCGAATTTGCTCACCAAATGCATTATTACCCCCCCAACCACAATGTTTCCGGTCTTCTTACATGCTTCCTCCAAATGATCCCACATTAAATTGCAAAGATTATACTATCGTGGGTCTATGAAAAAGGGCTAGATTGAGTACGGCCACGTCCCCCATCCGAGTATGGTGATTGTTGGGGCGACCAAGCAAAGAATTGCACAAGAACTTTAGGAACATCCGAAGAAGAGGATGTTGAACGTGACTAATGGACAATTTAGACGCGTTCACCTTCCTTTCTCCGATCATTTTGGCCCATAAAGTGTGCCCGTCAAGTGTGCTCTCCGGTATCCCCCTTTCATGGGGTGCGGGGATGCCGAAGTGTTCCGCAAACTCACGTCTCGTTATTGAGTATTCGTTGTTTAACCAACGAAACGTGAGTTTGTCGTAGAGGAACTCCGCCGGGTCATCATGTAGAACAACTTTGGCCGAACTCATCACCTCATAAATTACTTTATCAACACAATTATACTTCATATCAAAGATCAAATTCATCTCCAACCTATCAAATAATTCCCTCATTCCATCCAACAAACCTAGTTGTGTAAGAGCATTATGACATAGGAATCTAGAAGGAACTACTTACCTTTTGATGATGGCCAAAAATCGTTTGCGGTGATCTCCCGACCCAAAGCGAATGGTCTCATACCCCGGAATTGGTCCTCTAGCATTAGAGCTCTCCGGTTGGTTCCTTTTGGGTGCCATTTTGCCCAAATTTTAAGCTTGAATTCGGACTTGGGGATTTTTGGGGTAGGGTTTCGGATTTTTGGGGAGAGAGGGAGATATGTTGATTTTTGGATATGAGGTTGGAGAGGATGGTGAGAGGAGTGTCTTGGTTGTGGTATGAGAGGATTTGGTTGAGTGTTGGGTGA